TGCATGACTATATTTTAAATTTCAAAGAATTTCGTCAAAAAACAAAGGAGATATTGCCATTTAAAGTTTCAGCCAATCAGCTTGCAGCACGCGCACATGCGCATGCTTTCATGAAAATGCTTATATATCATGCGGTAGATCTTCATAATGTAGGACTATGTTCAAAATTTCAAAGGATTATGACAAGAAACAAGAAAGTTATTGAGACTTTAGTTTCAGCCAATCAGAGCGAAGCGCACGTGCATGCGCGTGAGATCTTGCTATTTTGACCATGCTATCTTGTCTATACTACTAATGTATCCTTACATTATGAGTTTCAAAAAAATTCAGCAAAAAATAGAAAAGTTACGGTAATATCCATTATATTGGTAATTTCACCTATTGCACGTGCGCGCTCTTGCAAGCACGTGCGCGCAAAATGACATTTGTTTGGCAACTCTACATAACATGCCTACTAACCCTAAAAAGGTTTCACCTAAGTCGGATGTGTAGTTTACAAGATCACTCGTGGACAAAATTTTCCCAGGAAGAAGAAAAATAATAATAATAAGAAACAGAGTAAAAACAATATGTTCCCCAACTTCGTTTGGGGAACATAAATATGACACCAAGTATATAAAAAAAATTGAACACAGTGAATTACTTTTGGATCAACCTTCGTATGTTGATTATTATTTCAAGAACGCGTAACGGATTATCACCGAATGAAAACGAAAGTAAATGCAATGGAAATTTTTATTTTTTAAAATAAAACTGAGTTTAAGAATACAGCTATTCATATATAGGACTTAAAGCTGAACACTACTCGTAAATAGGCATAGTCCGCCATATTTCTCGTTCTTCAACGCTCTCCCTGCAACTCGTATATAAGGAGCAGATCGCTAGTCAGTTCAATTTATTTCACTATAGAGATCCGACGAGTGTAGACGTACATCTTACAGAGCTTGCTACTCAATATCGATGAAATTATCAAATTTTATGTACTTCTTCCAAAACAGGACAAAAGTATTATGGAAAATACAGGTCAATACATTATTTACAAACAGAAAGTGCACATAAAAACAAGAAATAAACGCAAAAAATCTTGTACCACGATAGGAGTACTACATGTCGGCCACGAGTTTTGAGTGTGAAATCGGGTGTAACGAAAGCGAACGGTTTATATACCCGTCTGACAGTGCCTATTTATGAGAAGTGTTCAGCTTTAAACAAGACTATGCTACCTCAGTCGATAGAGCGCCTGATCGTAGATCGCAGTGTCGGGCCTTTAACTCGGCTCAGAGGAGTATACATATGAGTGATTTTTCTGCTACATCCATGATGTTTGAATCCTAGATTTAGGCATATGTCCCCAACAATGATCAGTGGTATCCTTTAGATAAATTTCAAAATCCTCAGCTCCTTAAATAGATTTGTAAAACAAAAGAAAATAACAAGCATAATATCACTGCAAATTAAACATATCAATGTTAATTATAAAGATTCAAGACGTAAAGGCACACTTTCTCTGAATTCCATTTAAGTTACCTTTCTTGCACAGTTTACTTCTAAAATAAAATACAATCATTTGACCATGACAGATTATGTAGGACGTATTGCGCAGTTAAATTTATCGATTTAAACAGCACAGACGTTAGTGTTGTGCTGTTATATGTATGATAGTACTCGTGTATGAGATTTACAATGTAAACATTCTCTTCGTACTCTTGGTTAACGATTATCATTGGCGTTGAAAGCAAATTCACTTCAATTCAATTCACTTTATTACGTAAGACATACATCTTATTGTATACAACACAAATTTATAACATGTAAACAGTAAAGCATAGCGAGGGTATTTTTTAACAGTCAGCATAGTTATTATACAATCAATATCATGATGATGGAGAATGTACAAACCATTTTTAATTTGTTTATAAGGCAATATGACATTCATCACGTAAGTTAAAGGCATGGTACAAAAATTTTCCCAAATTACAAAGGTCTTTAACATTATGAGCACATAACAACTGTATGAATTTAAACATAGATGGTTTTTCCCAGTAGTATTTTTTAATATATTTTACTCGTAAACCCTTGTATCGTGGACACTTTAAAACAAAATGGAATTCATCTTCAATTTCAGAACTACAAACTTCACATATTCGGTTTTCGCGCAAGATATTTCTATGGCGTCCACTTTCAATAGCTAAATTACGTGATGACAGTCTTATCTTACTAATTTGCTTTTTATGAATGGATGGAATAGGTTTCACCAAATAATATTGCAGTGTGAAGTGATCAATAATGTATTTAAATAACATACATCTAGATGAACTATTGATATCAGCAAGGAGATTTTGTACATAGTTGTCAATAATTCTTTGCTTTATAATTGAGAAATGGCTGTTATAACTAATTCTTTCCCGGTCAGTCCACATATATCCTAGACCAATTTCGAATAATTTATCTTTAATATTAGAAGCCCAATTCTTAATCTTGTTCTTTGGTTGTTCAATTTCCTCTAACAGTTTCTCATAACATGATCTCAAAATACAGTTCTTACTTTGTAATATTTTGAACCAAAATTTTAAAATTCGGAAAAGTCGTATAATCTTCATAGGCAGCCTACCTGTTTCAAAATATATCATAGAAGTATTTGTGTTTTTTCTAACATATAAAACACTCTTAATAAATTCTAAATGTATCTTCTCAATATCACATGTACATTGTATTATGGCTTCCCCAAACTTCTCAGCCATAGTTCAGTATGCTAATAACATATGTATCAAAAAGTGAGAACATAGTTTCAGTATTTAAACTCAATTGACTAACCTTAGATTTTAGACAGAACATTGCTTTTCTACCTTGACAAGCCAACTGTTTTTGAGTTACATTAAAATTTCCATTGTAGTTAAATAATACACCAAGGTACATAAATTTGTCTACAACTTCTATTTGTTCATTATGTATATGCCACTTCTCATTATCATGCACTTTCCCCCTATTTCTAAAAACAACAATTTTAGTTTTATCAACATTAATGGTCAGGTCCCATTTTGAAGCATAATCATACAAAGTATTCAGCATTTGTTGTAGTTCTTGTACAGATTCAGCAAAACAAACCATGTCATCTGCATACATCAAGGTAAAAAGATTCAATTCTTGCAGTTCAAGAGGAACATTACCATTTTTTATGAACTCAATTTCAAAATCATTTACATACAATGAAAAAAGGATAGGTGACAGAACTTCTCCTTGTAACAACCCTAAGGAATTTTCAAAGACCTCTGAAATCATTCTTGTTGATTTGACACAGGATTTTATATTCTCATACATAGCACGTATAACATTAAGTAATTTCCCTTTAATTCCGTACATGCTGAGTTTTTTCCAAAGCTTAAAACGATCTACAGTGTCGAATGCTTTTTTAAAATCTATAAAGCAGCAAAATAATATTTTTTTCTTATGTAAAGACGTACTAATAATTGTCGACAAACTAAAAATTGCTTCTGCTGTACCCACCCTTGGTTGGAATCCGAATTGAGCATCTGCAATAATATCATTAGTCTTAGACCATTCAATGAGTCTATTATTCAGAATCGAAGTAAAAAGTTTGCAAAAACAACTAATTAAGCTGATGCCCCTATAATTATTTGGATCTAGCCTATCACCTTTTTTCAATACAGGAACAATTACCGATTTAGCCGGAAAAATACCTGATGACAGAATTCTATTAAAAAGATTATGTACAATAGGAAGAAGACATTGTTTAAATTCAATAAAGTATTCATTGATCAACAAGTCTGTTCCATGAGATTTGTCTTTCTTTAGCTTAGATATGGCATTCTGTATTTCTTTTTCGGATATTTCGCGGTCAAGCTCTTCAAACACACACAAATTATCGTCGTTCACAGTCTCGTTAGTCGTCGCGTTTGGGTTTGATGCCAGGTCCTTGAAGTGGTCATAGGATATATTGGGATCGACATTTGGTTGATGTGGCTTTCTTTTTTGAAAATATTTATAGAAATATTTGGGGTTATGTTTACGAATGTGGTCGAGCATATATCCTTCTTCACGAAAATACTGCCGTCTGAGCTTTGCAGCAAGCCCTTTGTATTCTTTCTTTGCCTGGAGTAAGTTACTATGAGTAGCACTATTTTTGTTTCTGTTGAATATTCCAAGATGATATCTGTATTTGTTGTATTTCCCTTTCATTTCCGGGGTTACCCAAGGTTTATCTACCGGTGTTCTGCTTGAGTAGGCTGTTTTACGCTGTGTTGATTGTGAATGGGGTTTGATTTCAAAGAAAGGCTCCATGGCTTTTGTTAGCTCTGAAGTAAATAGGTCAACGGATGAGTCCATAGACTCTTGGGACTCACTCTCCAACTTTTCAGCTACTGACGTAAGTGTATAAAGGCATGAGTATAATGCAGTTTGTGCTTCATTAAGGTATTCTGGATTCCACTTAAATGATCTCGATGAGTTAAAGTTGTCGTTAGCGGAGTTTTCACTTACTGTGCTTACTGTGCTTACTACAGGGGAGGTCAAAAGATGTAGATGTAACGGTGCGTGATCCGAGTAAGTAGTAAAATTTGACACTTGGAATTTTTCGATCAGGCAGAAAATATCTGGCGTATATATACACAACCTGCATATAAGTCTTGGTCTATATTTCTGATAAGACGCTGTATTTTTAACCATATAATAGTATCGTGCTGATTTTTTACAACCGGTATATAGTTGTGAAATTTTTTACGAATCAAAATTACAATCCCCCCTCCTTGGGTGTTTCTGCTTTTCTGTCTTGGGAAAACATAAGAATCAAAATTTTCCACGTCTACATCAAGATTTTTTTGAAGCCAACATTCAGTTAAAAGAATAATATCATAAGACAATAAGAACTTTTGGAAACTTAGTTCTTTAATTTTAGTAGCAAATCCACCGTTGATATTCCAGCAAATGAATTTCAATACTTCAGTACAAACAGTTTTTGTGTGTTTGCCATTCTCCTGAGATCCCTACCCTACAGTCTCATCATGATTCTCCCTATTGGTTGTCTCCATAGCTTCCAGTGTTTCCGGTCCTGTGTACTCCTCACCATCAATATACAGTCTGTTAACAACCAATGTTGCCTTTTTACCTCTATTCCTTGCTTCTTTAAGAATTGGGTAAAGTTGTTTTCTTTGTTCCTGTATTACTCTTGGGAATTGTTCCTGAATTGCATATCTTGTGTCCACTAGCTTTCCAGCATTGGCGCGGACTTTCTCTCTCGCTCTAAACGACGAAAATTTCACTACCACTGGTCTGCACTCTCCATTCCTCCTTCTTCCTATCCGATGAGCCCTTTCAATGTCCTGCTTAACATTACGGAGCCGAAGTAGGTCATCACAAAAATCGTCTATGAGACGCACACAATCCTCTTTTCTGTTACCCTTATATTCTGCCAGGCCAAAAAACAAAAGGTTGTCACGCATACTACGACACTGTAAGTCGGTTATTGTTTTTTCAATGTTTTTCTGTGTTTTTTCTAAATTCTACATCTGACACAACACATCCCCGTTGACACTAGTAGAACGTGATCGATCTATATCCTGAACTTGCTCTCTGTTTTAAGCCTTTTGGTACGCATAACAATAGAGTCAATTGTCTGTGCCAGTTTATCTATGTCGGCCTTGTGAGCTCCAAGTTCAAGGTCGATATCTGCCTTAATCGCCTTAAATTTCTCATCTATACTGGCTATAAAGCCATTTTTGAATTTATCTAGTTTATTTCAACCATGGATTGAAGGGATTGTTGACCTACTTGCAGTTTTTGGACAGCCTCCGCAATAACAGTAATTTTATCCACCATATCCTCTAAATTAGTGTCCGCCATTTTCACAGTCTTTGTTGATGGTTTTGGGGTATTCCCATCAGAAGATAGTCGACGCTTTCTATCGGATTTGTCCGTTTTAGGCATCAATGCAATACAGAGACATTGAAATATTTCAACATATCAAATTTTCCAAGCTTTACACTTTAAAATAGTACCAAATTACTCACAAAAATCACTGCTAAAATTTACACCTCCATCTCTCCCCACGCATGCGCAAATCCTATATCATTGAAAGCAGTTGAAAGTGGGGAATTGGGGGGGGGGTAACTGTAAGACTTTTTTACAAAACCTTCAAAAATACCTGACAGAAAAAAAACCCGGGGAGAAACGTCCGTTTACCAAACACGAAAATACTATTTCGTTGCGTTGGGGAGGGGGTTAGGATCTTACTTCTAACAGTACCAGTTTTTTTTTAAAACCACAACTTCCCCAATTTTTAACATATAAAAGTGGCGAATGCAGAAATTTTGAAAAGTGGGGGGGGGGGGGGTAACCAGATTGAGTCGGTAAGGGAGCCAAAAGCCACAACAAAAAATATTTAATCATCAAATATGTTTTTTCGGACACAAAAAAGGGGGGGGGGCAGCCCCCTGGTCCCCCTCTAAATCCGCCAGTACATACTGCAATCTGTCTGTGGAAAGTGGGGGGATAAACCAATGCCACAATGTTAAAAGTCTAAACGAAGTCTATCTTTGGAAAAAGATAGCCCCTAAGCCCTCCACGCCTATGTGATAGGAATTATTATAAAGCCTGTTCAATCTGATGATTAATTTTGTAGTACTAAAATTTATCTCTTATCTAGAGACGGCAACTTGTTTTTCTCCTGGGTTCCTATTGATAGTGAGAATCTGAATGTCTAAATGTTTCTCAAATTAACTATTCATCCAACACTTTACATCAATTTTATAATGCTTGTAATTTATAACATAACTCCGATAAATGTATTTTCCTCCGGTACCTAACCTCTACTAGCTTCTGTTTCATTTGCCAAGTTCTTCGGCTAACTCAAGAAAATCTTACAAATCAATTACAATTAGTAAATTTGATGCTAAGTATAAACAAAACAATTTAACAGAGATTCCTAAGCAATGATAAATCATGTCATCCGCATCTGAGCTGTTTTTTTTTTAAAGAGCCATTCTCCATAATGACTCGAGCTTTGAATATTGTTGCCTTATATTATATAAGAAGATTATTTTCGTAATTTTCATTGGCTGAAGGGACGTCAAGTGATATTCCTCTTTTCGTAATATCGACGCCAAAGCGCGTCGGCGGATAATGATATCGCACGACACAGCGTTTGGAGCACTGAAGTTACATAAAACGTGACGTCATAATATAAGAAGCTTGTTTTTAACCATTGTGACGTAATGCCAGCCAAGTCTGTTCAGTTAGGACTGTCAGTGCATTCATTTTGAGTGATTTAAGCATTGAATTCATATTTTGTGATGTCTTTGGTCCTATAACACACCTGGCCGTGCCGACAAATTGAATGATATAAATGTAGTTTGTCGGCACGGCCAGGTGTGTTATAGGACCGAAGACATCACAAAATATGAATTCAATGCTTATATTTACATTTTCTAATTTTTCTCTATCATAATTGTCAATTTCCTTCATGTTTAATGTGAATTTAGCGCCCTTCAGTATTGGCGTGCGTGACAAACATAATAGTCGTTCGTGACGTCGAAAAGCTGTTTGTGACGTTGGAAAGTTAAATAACGCAAATAAACATTGCGAGGAAATAAAATGACAAATTAGTTTTTAATGCACATTCGCCGTATTTTATGTTAATTTTACAAGGGTAGTTTTTTTTTAAATGAAATTGAGTCAAAACAATAGACATCTCGGTATTCCTAAATACTGAAAATACATGTACTTCCTTCTGTGTATTCTACCGCGTTGTGACAGTTTCGTGTGTGTTATATAGAAAGTTGAACGTCTTGGATTTCTAATGGATTTAATAAAGAAAATTTAACTGAATGTAAATATTATAATATAACTATTATGGATTCCAGTGAGCGGTCAATATGTGGTTATTAGGATATTGACCTTATTAATTGCCATGAGTCCTTATAACCACATATCGACCTACACTGAAGTCCATAAGTGTATAATAATAAAGTTAAGAAATTCAAGAAGTTCACAATAATTTCAAAAATGTGTTTCAGGACAAACTGAATTTAACAAATGAAATCCGGTTGATACACGTACAAAGGCACACACATTTAATCTTTAACAACTCGATTTCTCTGGCGCTTAACTTTGTACTTTATACGGGCCCATTCACACGATTTGAAATTGCATGATCATGGGAAATTTGTTTGTCATCATTTTCAAAACTGAAATTAGGAAGAGCTAAGTATGAAACAAATTCAAATGACACCATCCTAAGATCAAATCGTAGAGTTGATAACAAGTATGAGTAAAAGGCTTACTGATTGTACGAAGGATGTCCGTAAGTTCGAGGACACACTAAATTTCAAATAAAAAATGTGTCATTGATATTTATTTTTAGCATATATATTACTAAATTTAGACTATAAAATGTAAAATTATGTTCAATTTAAATATATAATTACATCTATCATTAGACTTAGGATAGTGACCCGGAGCACCTCGAAATTTCCATTAAAAATTTAATCACTTTATAAATTTCATTTGTACTCTGTAAAACTTCGCAAAAACACGGCTATAGCATAATTATGTGGACAGAAGGAACAACGTAAAAATTTCAAAATTTGATCGTTCAAAATTTCAAAAGAGCTGAGAAATCGAGGATCGGAATGGTTAAAAAAAAGGGGGACGTTTTCGGACATGGCGGAGCAGAGGGCAGTAATGAAATTCTGCCGAGACATCGGTAAAACACCAACTAAGACACATAAATTTTGAGGACAGTCTGGAAATGTTAGTAAAAAAGCCGTTTTTGGTATTTTTAAAAGTGGTATGCAAGATTTTCGGGCGGAAGGAAGAACTCGACATTAAAATAGACTTTGAAAATGTGAATCATATTTCAATATAATTTATAATATGGACAAACCACATTCAGTAAAGGTTTACAGATGGAAACAAATTTCAGAATATGTTAGCTTGGTGCTGAAAGAGTAATATAAACTTTAGAAATATATTCTAAGCCAGGTGAATTTTATTTGGAGAGGCAAGATGGTAATAATCAGTCCATGTAATAATGCTGATATTTTGTTATTTCGTTTTTTCTGAAAAAAAAATTCACCTGGCTTGGTATATTTTACTAAAGTTTATATTATACTTTCTCTATTGAAGTAATTAACAGTGATTTCTATTCACTGATATTGTGTTGTCTTTGAACATTTGTCCTGTGGGTAAATGCCACGCACTGTACATTGAAAATCAGATAAATAAGCTCAATATTAACTCCTTTATACAATATATTTTTCTCAATGTCCAAAAAAATGTTTTCACTTGTGTAGAGAGGGTCCTTAAGTCTCCTCCAAAGAAAAAAATGTTAGTATCATCTGTCCGTAACGCGGACAGAGTTTTGATAATTTGCAGAGACAGAAAGTGTTAAATACTATTTTACACATGAATCCTGAACAGTTTGTAAACATTTTTGATGACTGGTTTAAGCGACACAAGAAATGTATTGAGTTAAATTGTGACTATGTTGGTAAAAGTTATATGTATTTATGACTTTTAACATCAGATATCGTCAAGGATTTTCGTTCTAGTGCTTCGGGTATAAGTGTATGTCTTTGTTGCATATAAATAAAATGAAACGTGAATTTAGTGAAAATAATAGTTTCATATATATGTCAATCTTTGATTGTAATTGTCAATGTTGTCCACGAATTTTACGGACAACCCTAGTGTCTTGTTTAACATCTCTGTGGAGATTGTTTCACTGTTATGGAGACGCCACAACTTGTTGACGAAGTTCTAGGAATATTGATCTTTACTCGGCACTCAGGGTCATTGAGCTGTGAGGGATCTTTTTCGTACCATCACATACTGTGACACAAGATCTCGGTTTATACGATCTCAGGAGACGGACAGGATTCGACGTCCTACTGTGGGATTCGAACCCGCGACGTAAGGATCGACTCCTTATTTCGCGACTCTGGCAAAAGCGCTTTGACCACTGCATCACGCTAGCGTTACATGTATGAGTAAAAGACATTGATATCGTGAGACAGAAAATAGATGCCAAGAATGCCAAGATACGGCTACCATGTGCAACTACACCTACAAATGTCAAGCATGACCTAAAGTTACTAGAACACAGATTACAATTGATACTCCCTCCTCCAAAAAGTATTTTTGATAAATTATCATAACACACAATAAGATCAGGGAAATAATAGCGATAACAACCAAAGATTAATGATGTAGCGTATTATTGAATTTCTAGTAAAGGTTTCCTCTTCAACAATTAGTGATGTCCTTGTTGTAAGAGTTGAAGTAACTTTGTGTGACATATATGTAGATTTTAAAGTTTCTCCCAAATTTCCAAACGTGTCGATTTTCTCTGCTGTATTCAATAAAATGCACTTAATTTCTTACTGTTAAACAGAAAGCCTATCTAGCGTCTACAAGGTTTCTACTGCATATTACTGTTATGAAAATGATGATTTTGTAGTTTCCTTAAAACAAACAGTGCTAGGAAAATGATCAAAAATTAGATTTTTAGATTGCTTTTATACTTAGAGAAAATTATGACCTTGTACTTGAATTCAGAGGTAGCACTATCACAACAATTGGTACAATGAAAAGAAACTACATTGTAAATTTTTAACTCCAACGTTGTTTAGTGGCCTTGCTTTTTGAAATTTGACCTTAACGGACACTAGTTTGATTCATAGACAATAAAATAAGGAAAAAAACTTTTGAAAATCCCGCACAAGTTTTATACAGTCATTGACCTACAACCGTGCTTAAAGGAATATTAATTTCCGGGAAATATAAAAAAAAGGATATTTTTTGAAGCTGGAAATTTGATTTTGTAGGTTTTGTTTGATTTTGTGATTTTGTTTCGTACGTTTACTTACAGAATTAGTATGACGTCCTGCATATCTTGCGTTTGTGAAATTTTCTTAAGATTTAGACTT